TTAAAGTATAACCTCGAGGATTACATGTTAAAGGTTTTGAAATGCTCCTCATGTCTATGATATTCTCAAAGGCGTTACGAATTATTGTTCATGCTCTTAACCGCAGCAAATATCTCTTAATCTTTCAATAAAATTCTATATTTTCCGCTCAAGGTATATTTCTTAAAGTTCTTTTGCTGTTTTTCCAAATTCTTCATGGTTATAAGCTAGTGATGGATTGAAATCCTTATTCTGTTTCTACTGCTTCATGGACAGCATCTTATCTTATTTCTGTACCACGAAGTCTTGTTTAAATTCTTCATCATGTTTACTCATGTAAGTGAATTAATTTATTGATCTTGTAGACTGTCCCGTAAATGTATTGAAGTTACTCTTGATGTAGTCCAAACACTTAGATTTTCGCGATTTATTAGAGGCTTTGCTAAGACGTACATGAGGATTTGTCAGTTACAGGGTAATATGCCTCAATCCTTTAGTCTCATCTTATTGAGTGATTGGTTTTCGAAGCTATTCATAAATCTTAAGAGCAGGGGCCACATTAGGTTGCCTGTGAAGCTAACAGTCGAATTTCTTACAGTAATTACCTCATAAAAATAGTATGTTCCTTTATTATGTCATTAGTCATACTCATATTTAATCCATTTCAAAACTCATACTTAATTTTAATTTTAACTTTCCTCATAGGTCTTAGCTTTCTAAGTGCAGCTTTTGCACTTTCCAGACCTAGCTTTACCTTCGTTGGCAACTTCGGCCCTGTTTTGCCCACAATAATCAAAGTTGGCAGGGGTCAGGACGACGTTCAGTACCTGCACCAAAAAGACATGGCTCCTCTTCTTAGTCCCACAAAGGGGACTTACTGGACTTCGCCTGCTGCGCTTATTCGTGGTTTGGCTGTGGTTGGAATAGTGCCGATGGCCTCCTCTCGTATGTTGGGAAGTCATATATGGTCGCGGAAAGATGCAGTTTGGTGGGTTACGATTTGATATAAACTTATTTTTGGATGATATATAGGCATTTAGTGGCGAAAGCTCTCTTAAAATGTGAATAATAAATATCAATGAATGGGTAGCTCTATTTGTGATGGTCTTTTGTAAGCATTATGTTATCACTCATATATGGCTTTTTAGATGCGCATTTTCATCCGACGAATTATTCTGTTATATTTACTTTGAATTTATGTTTATTCCTCTAATTGATGCTGGCTAATCTAATGAAAAAAATGAAATTTGACCATGGAGCTAAGCGGAGGAAATATTCAATTCCAGCTAATTATGTCAAGAAATTTTGAATACTTATGTATGAAAAAGTTTTTTTAAAATTTAAAATAAAATTTTCTTTTCAACCTTTCCTTCTATCT